CTGGCATGCCAATGAGCCTTGTCAAAGAGGGTAATGGGGAACCCTACCTATAGCACACAAACAAGCTCTTTGATGTGTTGGATCAGGGCTGTTTGCTTTTTCCTAGTACAGTGCAGTTCCTATCTCAGTTTGGACTTCTGGACACTAATCAAAAGGGAAAATACAAATCTGTATGTACCATCAGCCTCGGTTCATTAGCTCTGCAGAGAAAGAGAGAAGGGGAAAAATCACAGTAAAAGGGGCCATAAAATCCCTGGATATGTTCAAAGAGAATAATTATTCTGCTACAAATCTCTGAATTAATTGCATTTCACCATTTACCTAGCTGAAAGTAAATCACTAGATAGTATAATAAATGGATTCTGCGGCTCCTTCCAATCATATAATACTCAGTGGTGCCTTTAAAATTCCATCAATGGCAGGGACTGGGTACTGATTTTGCACACATAGCTGCTTTCTATAGAAATTGCCTGAAAGGGTAGGAGTTTGGCCTCAGGGACATATGCACCTTGTTTTGCTTTTTCATAAGACGTCCACAGAACCAAACAGTAATGTGGATGCAGAAAATTTCACACAAGTTCAAGTTGGACATTCATTCTGCCTTTGCCCTCAGGAGCAGGCATTTTGATTGCTATTTCAGTTGTCTACCATGATTAAGTTTTCTGTTGGGGGCTGGTTAAGCAGTGTAGTCTTGTTTTTCAATATGGCCTTGGAAATACCTTTTTGCCCTTTGTTTGTGGCATTTGAGCTCTAAGACACAATGGGATGACAGCCAATCAGGCACAGAACAGTAGCGATGGAAGTGGGCAAGAACCAACACAATCATGCACACAAGTCAGCTTCCTAAAAACAGAATGTAAGAGAATTCTGCTTCTGTTCACAAATCATGCCCTATTCACAATATCAAGAGTGCTTTTCTTCCCCTGAAATATTAGCAAATTGCTGAATTGGAGACTGCATGTTTAAAAAAACACTTTAGAAACAGAAATACATTTTCCTGTTTTAGTCAATGGGGGAACAGTGCATGCTTTTGAAAAATACACACCAAAACCATACTTTTCATGTTTAAAATGTGTACTTTGCCCATTTAAACCAGAAAAGTGGTAGAAAATGAAAATGGGAACAGGTCAAAATGTGCTTCAAAGTGTTTTTTGGAGAATTTAGATAAGCTCACTCATGCCTAGTTTAAGCACACATATCTAAAGAAACATATTGAAAAATGTCAGAATAGAATGTATCTTAAAACATTACTCTTTCTGGAAGGTGCCTATTTTCAAAGAGAACACAATGGCCAATTTGGACTTAACACTGAACTCAATATTATGTGCCATGAGTTTCAACAAGCATTTCACCTTGTACACTCTCACTTTTTATTTATTTGTTACATAAATACCCGTTATTTCTATGACATTTCTTCCTTTGTTCTAGAATTTTCTACAGCAAGCTAGCAATACTAAACAGTAACTACTGTGGAAAAGGACAACTAAAAAACAAGCAAAGTACATGATTTTCATCTCATAGCGAAGCAATAAGCAAATTCTACAGCTCTGCAGGATGCTGTGGAAATATAAATGGGATGGCTTGTATTTTACTCAACGCATAATTTAATTTGCTCAAATACAATGGCACCAGGTCACATCTAAGGAACATGCTGCCTTCCTTGAAAACATCTGAGCAATCCCTCCAAAAGTTTTGGTTCTCATTCACACAGTATGCTTCAGAAACATCATCTTTTACTCAAACTATGTTCATTATTGATAAACAGTATGTTCAGGAAAATAAGAGGAAAGTCAATCTGTGCATTTTGAAGGGAACAATGTAAAGAAATTGCATTTTGAGCATATTTTCCACAAAACTTTATCATGCCTGTGTCTTCCACAAGGGAAATTACTCAGCAATTTCTAGAAAACAGTAATTTTACTTGGTATTTTACAGTTGAGAATAAAAATAAAATGAACACACATGCTCACCACTTCATGAAATCATTGCAACTGGTGCTTTATTCTTTCTGATAAATTTTACTGATCCCACACAAAGAACCCAGCTTTTCTTATGCACCTCAATACCACTCACCTGGGTTTGTAATACAGATTGGCTGTACTGCCAGACACATCTCTCCAGGTGTTCATCCTGAACTTTAATTTCTTTTAAATTAATGATGTGATGATGATTAACTTTGGGTGGCTGGAAAGTGAAGAATCAACTTCCATCCACCCTCCTTTTCCCTTTCCTTTCCTTTTGTGGGTCAAGAGGCAATCCCAGCAAGCCAGCTAAGGTTTGGTTTCTGTTGTGGTTTCCATTTTTTTTTTTTTTTTTAAGTGAAGGGATGCTTCCACTTCCTGGTCTACTTGGGAGTAAGGTGTCCTTGTGTGTCTGTTGGGGCAGGGCATGGTAGGATTCCCTAAGCACGTTCCTTCTTTGAAAAAGGAATTCTGTTGTGGTTTATTGGGGCTATTATATGGTATGCCATTTAGGGCTCAGAGATCTTTACTCAGATTTTAGGCAGTGACCTACCTACCCCATCAGTTCTCTGTTTTCCTCCTGCAGATACATATTTTGTTCTGCTATATGGAGTGAAATATGTGGTTTGTGATTTCATGCTCAACTGTGCATGAAACTGTGCCTTGTACTCTTGCATCTTGTTTCTCCTTTGTGATTAGGCAGATGGTTGCGGTCTTATGACTAGGCTAGCCCCCACGGCATCCATTTTGTGGTGGTGCCCATGATAGATTTTCAGATTTCTAAACATGTTCACGGGCCCAAAGAAGTTAGTATCTGCTGTTCTAGCTGGACTAGAGCAATCCTATATACTTTTAACTTGGCAGTAAGTCCAACTGAATTGAATAGTACATATGCATGGGTATGAAGCCTAATAATAAAAATAGCCTTGTGCTTCATTTTTTACTAAAGCCCAGTGCCACATCACCCTTATTTAACCCAGAAGATATCAATAAGTGTACTTTTATTACTCCACTCCCCTGCCAACTCTGGTTACTGAAACATATCAACTGAATATTTTATACTGACTCCAAGTTGATACCCTCAATCCAAAATTTTGCTCTCAGACTGCTAAGAGTTCAATAAGTAATTTATACAGCAGTGGCGGCACTCCTGCTCTAGCATTGTTTCCTAACGCAGGTGCATAGTAGATCTTATTACACTCGGGGCATCTTGCTTTTCAGATTCCTTATGCTACTGATGCTTGTTAACACAAGGAAGAGTTTAGGATCTGCTTTGCTTTCACATCGTAGTTTGCCGCCATGTATTCTAACTGAGGAGTTTCAGGTAATTGAAGAAACACAGATGCTTAGATTAGTTTTCTGGTGTATGTTACAATGTGATCAAAAATCCTGCTTCTTACTGTCAGTACAGAAGAAGGCAGACTTAGGAGCATGCATTTAAGAGCAAAATTAAAATGTGATTTATTACTAAATATTCTGAATCTGACCTGCTGAGGGACAGAAGATACAAACGGCCTGAAGAAGGCATTTTCTGAAATTCACTAGTAAAACTGTGCAAATATGCCAAGATAAATATACAAAACAAAGTTGGCTTGTAGCAAAACATTACAATATATTCTCACCCTTAAAAAGGATGCTCCTGGTCAGGGTTCCAGTCATCTGGGCATTCCTCCAGGATGTTGTAAGTTGCCAGGGGCTAAAGCAAACAAATTCACTGCCCTTTTGCTATCCCATTTTTCTTTTTCAACAGAATACTCCATGAGCCCTAGAGGCCAGTGAATATGCTCGGTGCTTATTATTATTAAGACTTTCTTCCTCTAGGAAGTAAGCCATGGTAGCTTACATGGTTCTCCTCCTCTCCATACTGACTTCCTGTGAGGAGGGTTAAGCTGAGAGGCAGTAATTGGCCAGAAGTCACCCAATGAGCTTTATGGTCAAGTGGGACTGAGTTCCAGGCCAGTCCTCTTAACCACTATACCTCACCAGCTCTCTTAGTGGGTAATTTGTCATGTGTGAGGGCGTCATCCCAGATTTAATTTATTTTGGGAGTACTTTTGTATTCTGTATTCATTCTAAATGTCAATAGCACCTTCTTGTTTCCTAGTGATTTTTTGTGACACCAATCCTGCTGGCTGGGGGAGGGGGCTGAATTTGTTTTTTTCATTAAACTAAGAGCTTATTTACATGGCTGCTGTGTAGCACTGAGCTTGAGAAACGAAGAAGCTGTATTCTGTCAGTTTTATTCTGCAGTACTATCAAAGGTCCTTTGGACAAATGTTTCCCGACTCATCCCAGCCACTGTCCATGTTTATTTTTAAATCTGCCTGTGCACATGTTGGCTTGCCCACCAATCTTCACTAACAGACACCCCATTTTCAAAGCTGTCCTCTTTCATTCTGATTTTGCACATGCCCACTTTACTTCACAGCCTGAGAGATGCCTCTGTAACCTCCCCTTCAATCTTTTCCTGATTATCCACATGCTTCTCTCACACCATTGGACCTAAACAACAAACTTTAACACTTGGCATTTGGATGGCAGTGTGTGTGCATCACCGTGTTTATATATGCACACATTTGTACAGGTATACAAGTCTACAGAAAAAAACTTAATGTGCAGAAGAGTAAATATGTTAGCACTAAAAGTATAGAAAGCAGTAACCACAAAAAGTAGGAGCTGGTACGTGTGAAAGACCATGTATCTTTCCTTCAAGTAAAGTATACTATCCATTCTCACCCTATCTGGAGACGCTGCTTCTATCCTCACCAACCTAGTTGTGTCACCTGTGAGCATTCTATACATCCAAGTCCTGCAGGAAAACTCCCTATGTTTTCCTACCTGGACGTGCCCTGTGTGATATTAAGAATACTTTCTTTAAAAAAATAATAAAAAGTGGCATCTGAGTTGTTATAAAATAGCTGCCACACTCCTTTCTGACCCAAATATGTCTGATTAGGTAGCCATTTTCTCACAACCATCACCATAACCCAAACAGATAGACAGATAAGGCAAACAAGACCATTTCTACGATCAACTCACATTCTTTGGACATTCCCACTTCAAAGCACTTCTGTAGTCTGCAGTACTGGCAGCGATTCCTAGTGACTTTATTAATAACACAGTTCTTATCTCGGTGACATGTATAAACCATGTTCTTCTGAATGCTTCTGCGGAAAAAACCCTGCAATCAAACAGAAAAAAGGGGAATGAAATCTCTCATTGTGTTACCATTTGTTCTGTGAAGTTGCTGAAGGAGCTGCAACATTATGACTGTATTTGACAACCCTCATGCCTTTATGAAATATTAAAGATCTAATAATGCTCCTTTGAAAACATAGGTCGTTTACTCAAAAATAAACAATGGTATACGAGCAGGGTACAGGCACGCAGTATATAGAAAAAGCATTCAGAAAAGAAAGGTCAAAGCCCTGGTCCATACATTCAGCTGGGGAAAGTCTGACATCTCCAGGCAGGGCTGGAAAAACTTCTGCTGAACCCCCGATAGGGACCAACGGTCTTGCTCAGTATAATGCTGTTTCCTATGTTGCAACCTGGCAGAGGAACAACATGGCTGCTTTGTTAAGGCTTCTGCAGGAGCAGTCATTCATCAAGACTGCAGGAGGAGCTCAGTCTCTGCTACCCCACTGGAAGTTGTAATACCAATGCACTTTGTACCGGAGTACTTTTTAAATATGTCCTGCTATAGATAGCTTCTCTCACATCATATATCTATTTCTTTGAAATTAAAGCATGGTCATCACAAATGGATTTTCCGTGCCATTTTGACAGCTTAAAGGCTGATACCGTAACACTGGAAAAATAAAAGCTCACTGCAAATAACATAATGGCTTGAAGACCTAACAACGCTTTAAATATTTGAGCAGATGACATATAGGCGTCAGTCTTAAATGGGTATATATACAGATATTTGGTCTGCCTTTGTTGAAGCTTATGTAATAACAGATACACTTCCTTTCAGACGGTTAGCTATTTGCATCTGTGTGTGTGTGTGTGTGTGTGTATCTTTTCTTTCCTTTGTTTAGACTTGTCTTGTTTTGAAGAAATTAAAAGTAAAAATGAATTGTAAAAACTAGGACAAGGTCATTTTATAACATCCATGTTTATTTAAAAATAAAATGCCATTCTGGATACAGCTAAACACTCTATAAACAGACAATCTTGATTGACTTTCAAAGCAATCAAAACACTTCAGTTCAATAGCATGTACTTATGGATTATAATTATACAACTGACATTTCCTATTTACTTTCATAATGCCAGAATTTTAAAACTATGAGTTAGTTCGAGATTAGTCATACCTTCACTAGATCTATTGAAAACAATGAGATTTATTAACTATGACAAATTTTATTAACTCAGACAAGTAAATACTGTTTTTACTCTGTTTTTGAGCTTTTAATTGATTTTAATTTAATTCTAATTATATTCTCATTGTTGGTTTTATCAGTGATTATAAGATATGCTGAGTTCGTGTAGAAGGGGAGAATAGAAAGCAACGTAAGCAAATAAATAAATGAATGAATAAATAACCCTAAGTCAGAATTCATACCAATATATCTATGAAACCAGAATGGAAAAAAATCATCAAATTAAAAGAGAAAAAAAATCCAATTTAAATAAATCTAATTTAAACCAAACAGCTGATTTTTATTTTTTAAAAAATCATTGTTTACTCACCCTGATTCATTCTATATTTTAAACACATCTGGGGGAAACAAACAACACAAAATACCTTAATGTTAGCCCCATGGCAAGTCCATTCAGTAATCATTTTGGTAATTTAAGAACCCAGAAATACTCATTTTCGGTCCTTCATAAAATTGCAACATGGTGTCACATAATTTCAGTTAGATTCTCAGTCCTTTCTTGATTGGAGGAAAGCAATTCTCCCCCTCCCCAACAGAGAATTGCAGGGCCACTCTACCATTAGGCAGCAAACGGTAGGGAGCAGGGAGGAATGGCAGGGTGTTGTGAAAGAGCTACATGTTCCATGTGGCTTAACCTAAGCCTCCTAAACTAGTCTGCAGCATTCAGGAGTGACAGATAAAGCTATAGCAATGTCAGGAATGAAGTAAGATTCAACTAGCTCGTCGGTCATTTGTGTGGAAGGGGTCAGGGCATGTCACCTTGTCTTTTGCCAGGGGAAAACTTATAAGCCAGCTGGGAGATTTGGTCTTGAGCAAATGTATCCGAAGTATCACAGGCAGGGGTCAGATTCTGCAATTAGGTTTTCCTGTTGTTCCTCCTCCTGCAATTCTTTGCAGTCCTGGAAAACATGCTCCTGAAAACTTGAGGACCAAAATCACAAGCAAGTCTACTCACCTTTCCTCTAAGCAGATCAAGACAAAACACTTTTTTAACTAATGTCTTTGTTGTGTTAAACCTGACCAGTCAGGCTGGCTTTTTGGTATAAAAGAACTATTGCAGAGTCAGTGACAAAAAGCACAAGCAAAGTTAGAAGACTGGCAATTAGGGAAATGCAACTTTACAATAAGAAGTTGATTACAAATTGAATACCTCTTCTCCCTTTCAAATGAAATGGAACTGTCTCTACCTTCCAGGTGGATCATGCCGCTTATGGACCAATGGCTGGAAATGGTGAATGTTTCTCAAATGGTCCACGTTCTTAACCTGATGTAGTATGATTGGACTACTCCCATCCATCTCAGTTTGATCCCTAGAACACATTGCCACCCCACCCTTGAAATTGTCTGGCTCTCAGTGTCTGGCTTGTGCCTAGTTCGACCTCTTCATTGGCCTTGGAATTTCAGCCCATCTCTTCCTCTTCTGAATCCAAGTCAACAACTTTTGAAATCCTTAGCTGTAGAATCTTCAGAACATATGCAGAATCCTTATGTGCAATGCATGGACACAGTGAAAAAGAATCTGTATTATAGGTGAAGTTGGCCCAATCCCTACTCTGGAAAGGTATACAACAAGATGTTGGGGCCTGGAGCTGGTGCATGTGGGTACATAATAAATTGAAACTGGAGACAACTATCTTGCATGGACAGAAATGCCTTCAGTTTGTGGAATAGGCTCTTTGGAACTAAGTTCATGTATCTGCTTGTATGACGGGAAACCAAAACAACAATGCATTTTTAAAAATGAGCTACCCAATCCACAGAACATGAGAAACAAAACCCACACTATAATCATTACAAGAAAGGATATCTAAGCCATTTGACTTGCATTTATAGGTCACCTGTTTGACAGTTGTCCTTTTAGGCTACCAGACCTAGCCAATCCTTTTAAGCAAAGGGATTAATTACAATTGCTCAAGGAGGAAAATGAAACTCCTCCTCTCTTTTACAGGAAGTGCATGAACTGGTAACCAGAACAGGAAGGTCTCACTGCTCACTTACCCATGAGCAGCAGAGGACAAGATGTATTTAATACATTAAGTTGCCCCTCACAGCAAAATGTTGAGATACAATTTATGCACAAGATGTTCAGACTGACAGCATTCTTCACAGTAGGTGTTTATTTATTATGCTGGTTCTGACCATGTTGATGGAGTCTGAGAAAGTCACTGCAGTCTACAAGCAACTGCAAACTGCACAAACTCCACGATATGTGAGCCTTAAGTGACAAAACTGAGGACATGCTGTCAAGCTCCTAGTAGAGCTGCATAATGTATACAGATGGGACTGAGCATGTAGGCAAGCTTGATACAACTGCCTTATTAGGCTATTAAAGAACTGACAACATATGGAAAAGCTAAAGAAACTATTTATAAAAACTTGTATACTTGATTACAAAATGTTATTGCTAAATCAGGCCCTCCTTGGGGTCCCAATATGGCCATTCAGGGTTCCTCAGATCACTCACTCTTTACTTTAGGGTCCATCTCTTTTCTTCCAAATGCCTCATCATTTGCTGGTTTCTTACAGATTTGGGAAGGCTGTTCCATGTTATCTCAGTGGTGTGACTACTAATGAAAAATATGTGTAATCCTGTGTAATCAGGCTCTTTGTCACACTGGCACATACGTAGATCACTTGAACTGGATATGCCTAATTCCCATCCAAGCAGTAGCAGTGCCCTGTAAGGCTGGTGTTTGTGTACATTATTTCTGCAATGAGGACTTACAGCATTCATGTTAGGCAGGGTTGGGCAGCTGCTACGGGCCAGCACTCTACTAGGAGACGACTAACAAGGCTTCCCTTGTTCCTCCTCTTCACCACTGCACCTGATTGTTCACCTGACTCTCCCACAGGCAACAATGGCAGAGCAGTAGATGCCTCTGTCCACTCGCTCATTGGCTCTCCGCCTGTCAAGCAAGCAAGTAGTAGTAATGATAAGAAAGGGGATAAGAAGCAATAGCAGGTGGAGACAATGGCTGTGAGAAGGTAAACTCACTGAGGGAGTCCTCCAAAAACTGGAACTGGCAAATGTCAGAGGGGACCAGGAGGTAGTGTTCAAGACTTCCTATGTCTCCAATGCTTCTCTCCTGCAAATCCTCTCCCCTGTGCATCTCCTTTTGGATGTTCTTCTGGTCTTAGAGACTACCTGGGAAGGAAGGAAATAGGCTAGAAAAATCTAGCTGAGGGAGGCAGGGGGATTTCTATAGCAGAATCATCAGGTGAAATGAGCAGATGCCTAGCTCATTTATCCTTCCAGCTGAGACTTCCCTGAACATGAGTTTGGGAGCCTTATTCTTGCTTCATGGCATTTAGTTCTTCCCTGATTGGTCATTGTACACATGGTGAGCTCCAAGCTGGTGCTTGCTATCTCAGATTAGACCAGATACCATTCAGAATCTGCCTGGAACAGAAGAAAAATTCACGCTGTGTTGTTCACCAGCAGCATGAAGGCAGGAAATGGACCTGAAATTTCACACTATGACAGGCTCCAATCTTGGCTTGTATATTTGGCATTTCCAAGAAAACTACACGTGTAGTAAAATGGAAACATATAATTTATAATCTGTAATAACAATAATAGTAATGACATAATGTTTTTAAATTAATAGCCAGTGGGGTATGAAGTCACTTGAGTATTTTTTTAAGTAATCCATTTGCCCACATTTTGGTCTATTTATTAGTGTTGAGCATTCTTACGAGGGATGTATTATGTCGAGAGGCATAAGGAATTTACATGACCAATTCTCATTAGTGTTAATGGGTACTGCAGAACCCACATCAATTCTCCACGATA